TATTCCATTATTAAATGTAAGTTTTGAATCACGCGATATTAAGACATGTATTTAAGATGATCCAGAAATGACAACTCAATTTATTAATTAAAATTAGAGGTGATTTCGAAGTATGAGGTTTTGACAAAAACGCGTGTAAAGTTTCTTTTGTTAGTTACATGTATTTAAAATATTTATAATGTACTTAATTTGTACGAATCAAACAGACCTTTTGCACGCATGTTCTAAATAACATAATTTATATATTAATATTGGAAGTTCATAATTAATACACCCCCTTAACTCAAAGCACCAAGTAAGTAAAAATACAATATTCATAATTATACAACGGATCTTATGCATTTATTGCAGATATTATAGCTAAAATATAAAATTTTAAAGACATAAAAATAATTTAACAATATTGTTACGCTGTTTTCAATTTATCAAAATTATTAAAAAGAAACAATTTATGTTTATTTAATTTCTGTTTCCTACAATCTCATCTCGGAGAGTTTGTATTTTCCGTAAAAATCCGCAGTCTATTCTTAATCTTTTGCTTTGCAATCCGAAATTATTGAAAACTCTCCAAGAGTCCACTTCTTTAATCAACAGAAAATTAATAGTTTCGCAAAAGTAATTTCCACATCAGTTTTTCTAAGATGAATCATCGTGGCATCGGAAAGAACTTCAATTTGTACGATGTGTAAACAAAGATGAGAAGAATGAAGAACGTAAGAACCGTAGTTGAGGTAGCAATTTCCGCGTAAATAACCATTTAGCCTCAAGATATTTTTAACTCGGTAGTTAACAAAATAAGAACGAAACTAGTAAAGCGATTATACTGAGCGTATCAATTCACGCAGATTTAAGTGCTATGAGGATGCAATCAGGTAAACGATCGAGTAATACACCGTTTATTCTCGAGTTCAATATACCTTGTCAAACAAATCGAAAACTCGTGACCTCTTTGCAATATCCATCATCTAATCATCGATATCCTACGGCATGATCACTTGCGATTAGACTGCGGAACTTTGTGGAAAATAAAAATTGTTTACCTCGCACGAAGAGTTCTTAGGAATATGGTCGTATTTCGAAAAATACTCTCCCCTCTTCTATTGCAATTTGAGAATTAAACTTGAACGTATATGTCAATAAATTACCAACTTCATATCCTAGTAATTCGATGGAATACACGAGAAATTAATCGTATTGGTATTGTGGTTTCAGTAATGGAATCAAATTTTTAGACTTGAATTGAACCGATTTGATCGAATTGAATATTGTCAGAAACGCCTTATGTTTAATTAAATGGCTAAGTAAAACACGCATAATTAATAGGTTGAAAATCATATAATAGCGTTTCAACATTTTTGTGATCGTTTTACTGTATTGTATTTCATCCATTCGTTTGCGTCATAACTGCTTAAAATCGACAGTTATATCACTTGTTTAAATCGACTAAATTCAAATCGTTAGCTATTTATATAAGATCTAAGTTGATATTGATCTTAAAATAGTATGTTAAAAAAATATGTGTAAAATGTTGATGCATAAGAATTTGTACGGGGCCGATCATGGCTATTGTAAACTAAACTGTGGATTTTATGCATTTATAGTCAAAACAAAGAGATGAAATTTAAAACAGTGGAGGCACTGAAAGAACTTGTGAATATTCATAATATTATATTCAATCTATTAGAACTATTCATAGCTAAATTCAATTTTTACTTTATTTGTTCGTGTAATTGATGCAGAAAAGTTTTATTTTGCTGAACAATTCGCGAAGTCGACATAATTTCAGTAATATTATTCCTAGAATTAATGAGCCCTAAACGGAACTCATGTAGTATGTCATTGCAATGGTAAAAATGAATTTACTCAAACTTCGTACGGTTTTGATAATAATTGTATGTTTGAATAAAGACACATGTCAACAAATAGCTGATAGAAATGTTTTTATAATTCCGGTAACCGCGGAAGAAACAAATTAGAAACAAGCCATTCCGACACGTTCGGCAATTATAATGATTATTAACACTAATTTGTTTATTAAATTGTTTGTTAACAAATATTAGTTGAATATTCGTATTTAAAGCCGCCAATTTTAAGCAATTTTTAAATAAAGAATAGTTAGATTTTTATGGATCATATGTTCTAAAATTTTGCATCTATGTTTGCCTATATTTCAACGTAATATATTTTCTATTTAAAATTACCTCTGTTATTGTTAACATTATTGTATAATTCTGAGCCATACAGTGCCGATACATCATTGAAGGGTCGATACATCATTAGAGTCAAGCTGAATGTAAAAATAGACGTCATTTTTTTTATATGAAACGATACAACACTCAATATGAAAATGCAAAGGAAAGTTACAATTTATTGATTAAGTATAAACAGAATCAATAAAAACCCTAACACGACAGTAATTAAAAAAGTTATACGTATGTAGATATAATCCTAATACACAGACTGAGTCATATATACAATTTTTTATTCAAAATTTTATAAAATCGATTTTTTAAAATCGAAACTCCGTAGAAGCGTTAGATTGGAGTCGAGTCGACTGTAAAAATAGGCGAAAAGCTTATTTAGGTGAAAAAATATAATAATTAATATAAAAATACAGAAGAAAGTAAAAATTGAATAATTAAAAGTAAACGAAATCAATAAATTCGTCTTCAATAAAGTGGCACTTTAAAAATTTATATGTACCTAACACACGGTCTGGTATATGTATTCATTCTTTTACTCAAAATTTTATTACGAAGAACCGAAGCACCATAGAAGGATAAACAATAACGAAGCACGCAATTGTATTTACGGTGATACTGAAGGCCGCCTATAGTTCGGCGCCAGCTCGCGAGCATCGATGGTATTTGCTCGCGCTTCTTATAAATGGAATATCAATGAGATCGGGCGCGTAACCCGGGGTCAGCATTATTTAACGTGAGCACGTCGTATACGTGACAAAGTGGCTTGACCGCTTGTCAAACTAGCAGAAACACGAGCTTTCATGACTCGAAAGAAGCGAATCGGGCGCGGGTCGCGTGGCCTGGCGTGTCGTATTGTTACCGTTAAGCGCAAGCATCGAATTTGCACGTGCCCGTTCCTTTGTGCACGCTGCACGTCATAAATTACCAACGAAACATTAAGAACTTCGCAATTTAGTGGAACCACGATTGTGCCATTATGAACCAGACGAAATCGTCGACTCACAAAGCACTCACGATTACACGCCTCCTATTAAAACTTGCGGTTATTCTTTTTCATCCGTGTTGGAGATTACTTCAGCATTTCGTTTCTCTCGGTTAGTTGCGCTCAAGTCGTAAATAACTTTTTCCTCTTTAGCATTACCTTGATATTTCATCTTTCTTATTTGATTACGATTTTGTAATTATTCGATATTTTTGGCAGAAGTTAATTGAAATTATATTCTGAAAATTCTGAAATTCTTTCTGACAAAATTGTTCGAAAACTACGATAAATTCATTCAAAATGCCTCAAATTATTCAGATCGATATAATGTCACAAGTTCTTTGGAAATTACTGTTTGTAAGAAAATTGTCGAGCTTCCCTTGTACACAATTCGGTTACTGAAAAGACTACTACTAGACTACTAGACTACTACTAAGCTTAGGGTAAATAAAGCATTAACTGAAATCAAAATTAATGGAAATATTCGGATATGTATTGCATTGCAGTCACATAGCAGAATAAATTCCTGTGTACATCATTTAAATTTTCTGATATCGAATTAGAATGGTTTTTTTCGAAAGTGGTATATTCGAAATTAACAAATTATTCTAATTACAATAGGAAGCCTAGCCATTTATTAAATAGTTGGATGCAGTTTTAATTTGATTGATTCATATTACGTATGAAGAAGGTTGCAGATAATTAATCAGGAACAATTCCAAACAATTGGTAAATATATTTAAAAAAATGGACGTTTATCGCACATTGTATACAATTGATTTAACAGCTGCGATTCTCGGAACGCGATTTTGAAATGCTGTTCAATTAGTAGCTAGACAGCAGTTATTCAATTCTGAGAAGGGTCTGGGTTCATCGACCGATCCAATTTTCGGAATCCCTTTTGCTTGGGATCCGATAAATAACTGATTCGGGTGTTTCGAGAAGGTTCCACGGTTGACCCAGATAGTCAGATATTAAATCTTGCCACATGATCTAACCTTTCTGCGAGAAACTGACGGATAGTGTCTGGAAGACTTTGTGTATCTCGCTTTCTTATGCTTAGCTTATTTTCAGTATGATCTACGTGTATTTTTACATCGATATTTTCGCTAATATCGCATCGATTGCATTTACGATATTTTATACCAAAATACTGTTCTTTCTCATTTTTACAAAAATTGTTTCCAGCAGATTAATATCTCAACATTTCTTTCTAAATAGACGCTCACGTTTATGAAACATCTTTTTGAGGGAACGAGCTTTCTCCTTTTTTCTTTTACCACAGATGGCAACGTAATTTAAGTCTTCCTCAAAATGTGAAACTCCGAGACAAGATAACGTTCATAGTTGGAATAAATTATTTCCGGTAAAAGTGCATTCCTATGAGGCAAATTAGTGCCAGCAGAAAACATTCTTACGAACAATATTTCATTATGTTGCTGTCTCTTTTACATATTGAAGATTAATTTGACCCGTCGATCTATGAAATTGTCGAATTTGTTTTTACTTTTGGTCTGTTTAATTTTCCTGAAATTCGTCACCGGAGTTTGGTTACACTGCTGCCGTAGTCCGCGAGTTTGAGTGATGACCGCAAAACTTGCCATTAAAATAGTCGGAGAGCACAAAGAGAATCGCATTTGCCTAGAGAGCTACCGAGGATTCGTCCTCTGTACCGTTTGCCAATTTTGCAGAATACCGTGACGGACATAATTTGTGCATCATCAAAATCATGTATGACAATATATCTTCATTTAGCATTTCGCTGTATGTATTGCCAGCAAACGTCTCCCAGAAACTAATGGAATAAACAGTGGGCCGGTCATTAAAATAAACAGTGTATTAAAAAATATATTCATTACATTCCCATAGAATTAAGTATGTACATACAATTTATAATACAGATCTCCTAACTTGACGTACTTGCTGGACATCTTTAAATGTTTTTCAACTCACGAGATCTATCGTAATTACAATTTTAATAATTACTAATTAGAATTACATTTTCGTAGGAATTATTCGTGTTTTTAGACAATTTTCCGTCACAAAATTCACATTTCAGTCGATGAATGGTATCGGGACTAATAAACTCGTTATCAAAAACAAAATACGTTTAAAAATATTATTTTTTCGCGCTGTACACGTTCCATTTTGCTAAGATATCGTCGAGCTCCTGGCATTTTGCTCGTTCTGGTACGTTGTTACGCAGGGAACGATCGTTTCGATGAACTTTGTGCACCAGCGCAGTTTCGCTCGATGTATTAGCGCGCTTAAAAATGACACAGAAATTCAAAATGAGATCGATCATTGTAAGAGAACCATTGACAAATTATTTCTACGGAAGAGTCCTATATCAATTTAATTTCTTCGCAGAACCACGATCAAATCACCTTGAATAAAGAAGAAAAACATCGCATATGAATTTAACCGTATTGTTAAAGAAAATTTAAGAATATTGTGCCATTATTTTCAATTTATTAGAACATTGTTATTTTCCTCTTGGTGCTTATAATTGGTGAACAAAATTACGTTCTTTTCTTAGACGAAATAATTACTTTCTTTTGTATTATTAATTTAAAAATTTGATGATTGCCATAATAATTCGGAATTTATATTATGTAACATTAATTTTAATAAAAGCTAAATGATCAAAAATTACCAAATGCAATCGTGATTACCAAACTGGGAAATAGATAAGTTTACGACAAAAATGAACAGGTCAAATGCAATACTGTGAATGCATTCGAAGAATTTAAGATTATCGTTACATTTTTCTCAACATATTGCAGTGCTTAAAAGGGGAAACGCATTTTCGTTCAAACTACAAAGATCTGCAGTCTGCTGATAGTAAAGTTCGATAATCGTACGAGGTTAGTTCAATAGCATGGATTCAAGGTATCACCTGTTTCTCAGATCGATGTGAATTTTCTGACGACGGCGTGTCTGACATAGAAATAGACGATGACTTAGCTGAAATTTGTCCAACTTCTCCTACTTTACACAGCTCTTGAGTTTTGTTCTTGTAAACCGGAGATTGTGACCGATGCTTTATGTCCTTTGTGATACACTGGATAGCGTACAATGTGCCTAGAATGATGGCAAACCTATGAAAGCAGAATCATAACAACGGAAGACAACTAATGCGGTCACCATATTTCGTTATTACTGACGAATTGTGTCGGACGCCAAGCGTACAGCCATCCTCCAACAATAAATTTATGCATTGAAGATTTTCGATCTCTTCCCGTCATTCGTTAAATATGTAAAGCTTCGATAGGTAACCACGAATTTGACGTATTTTGTTTTCTCGTGAAATATTTTGTTTTCGTTCTGTACAATCGATATTTCTAGAATTCGATTCAAACCTGGCACTACGTTAATTACTGGACTGCGGAGTTTTATGCATAATAAAAATTGTCAGCACTGATTGCAAGGTGCTCTTGCATATCTAGACATTTATGTATTTCTTTTCTTAATAATTCGAATGAATTGAATACAATGCAACATTATCTTTGAATTCTTTAAGTGCTTTCACTGCGTTTGATTTGATCTACTCATTTTTGTCATAAATGCATAAAATTCGCAGTCTATACAGGATGATCTGTGTTGCGAATGAACACTTAAACTGCGCGTTTGTTAAAATGATCATCCGTAATTCTCGTTCTTTAATCCCCTGAATAATATTATCATAAGCGAGACGTTATACTACTTACAATAAGTTCATACATTCTTAAACAAAATGCAAACATTTTTTCATAGCTCCAGCTTTTTTAAAAGTACCGTAAAGAATTCGTCAAACGACCAATGAATAAACATTTAAACAAAACCAATAAATTTTTGCTAATCTATTGTTCATTTCATAAAATAAAACATAAAAATACAATAAACGTTACTTAGCTTACTGAGCTCTAAATACGACTGATGCATATTGTTTCTTAACAACGACAAGATTGGATTTATTTAAACTTCCTACGTTTTCTATTAGAACGTCGTTATAAGCCGAGGGCCAAGCAGCTTTGCGTGGCCGGAGGTTGGATGCAATTGGGATATTTCNTTGAGTTATGTTATTTATCCGTCATCTTTACTGTCCTTAATTGTCTGACTCTATTAAGTGTACTTTTTGAATAACCATTAAAAAATAATTATTATAAACTTTTAAATTCGAATTTTGTATAAGCAATATGTGAAATCGTTGAACGAAATTGTTATCGTAAGATATAATTGATCGCATAAATAATTTTCGGACGTTTTTGATTTCAAATAGCGAATTTCAGTCCGTGCTCCTCAGAAAAATGTGCGGGTGGAAACTGTACAGGTCTCTGTGGCGCGTGCGGTCGGCTAAGTGTTAAGATCAAGATAGGGTGCATAGACCAGCCAATGCTTATTTCGGCACGGGTGGCCACCTTCAGATCAGGATAGGGTGCGTAGACCAGCCAATGCTTATTTCGGCACGGGTGGCTACCTTAAGATCAGGATAGGATGCATAAACCAGCCAAGACTTATTTCGGCACGGGTGGCTACCTTGAGATCAGGGTAGGATTTGGGGAAATTGGAGTTAGGCCGCCTCGTAACTTTTGCAAGAAAATGTTGAAGATATACTTCGAGCGGTAAAGATATATCTCTGTGGGTTTTGTACCAACTACTGCTTCGAAGTAGGAAGCGGAAATAATTGAATTTTGTAACCAAAGTAACTGGTAAAAGCTAACATATTACAAGTTTTGGGTTTACTACAAATTCTATAAATAACTATAAATTCTCCCTAAAAGGCCCGGAGAGCTCGGAATTGAAAACGATAATCGGCGGTCATTCGGACACGATTTTCACAGTCTCGCGGCTCTCGTTTTTATAGTTGCCGACACCCCGTGAAACAGACTATTTTGTGTTGTCTTTCGGGAATTAGAGTCAAAGGAACCACCGTCACGCGCTTGATCGACTCCGTCGACCCTGAGCATCGACGTAGCAAAAAATCACATAGGCCTAGGACTAGCACGGGGAAATTCACAACAACCCGAAATTTGAAGAATTTACTGTAATTTAGTTTAATTAGGTCTCAATTTGTGCTCGAGAAACGGGCGAACTGGACCTGATCTTTGGAGATGAACAAAATACTTTCTACGATATTCGTGACTGTTTCTAAATTAACACCAAAAGTATTGGGACCCAAACATGACTAACGTATATTGCTTTGCAATAATGAAAAGAGTTTGAATTTATAATACATGCTCGAATAAAGAAGTTTTTATCTGACAATTACTCATAGAAACATTTTTATAATATCAAATGTTACAAAAGAAAGCATCAGAAAAGAGTCATTTTGATGGGTTAGGTAGTTCTATTGGTAATTCTAGATATAGTTGTATAGTTCATTATAGATAGTTCTAATGTTAAACAAGACTTTTGTTGGCTAAGTTTATTTTATCCCCGAAATACTTGTAGAAAGTAAACATGTTGATTCTCATCATTAATAATATATTCTTCTATGTTCCAGTTCTAAGTGCATTTAACTCGTTCGGTCCCACGGACGTGTTATGTCGCGATACTGATACTGTTTGTATAAGATCGCGGACGAGATACATCTCGCGACGTATTGCCGCTTGTGCGATGCCACGGACGTGTTATCCCGCGACGCAGTACCGTTCGTGCGGTGCCACAGACTAGTAAACACGCTTTAATTCGAGAGCAAAAACAGAAGCGCGAGTTTATTCGTTCGCGGCACCGCACGAACGGTATTGCGTCGCGGGATAACACGTCCGTGGCACCGCACAAGCGGCAATACGTCGCGAGATGTATCTCGTCCGCGATCTTATACAAACAGTATCAGTATCGCGACATAACACGTCCGTGGGACCGAACGAGTTAAATGCACTTAGAACTGGAACATAGAAGAATATANGAAGACATTGATCTACTGATAAGTGATTGTGAAGTTGACGACAATAATAGCACCATCGTTCCCATATATCAGACTAATCGACGAATTCTTTCGAGTGAATCGGAAGATGATTCCGCCGATGACTCGGAATCAAATGTTATTGTCAATGGCGTCGATGATTGGACAGAAGATGATATTAGAGTTGAACTGAAGCATATGGTCGAACTGCATGCATCAACACAATGCCTGAACATCACGATATATTACTGCTTTTTTGTTCCATATTTGAGTTACGTTATTTATCCGTCATCTTTAATGTCCTTAATTTTCTGACTCTATTAACTATACTTTTTGAATAACCATTGCAAAATAATTATTATAAACTTTTAAATTCGAATTTTATATAAGCAATATGTGTGAAATCGTTGAAAAAAATTGTTACCGTAAGATACAATTGATCGTATAAATAATTTTCGGACGTTTTTGATTTCAAATAGCGAATTTCAGTCCGTGCTACCTCAGAAAAATGCGCGGTGGACAGCGCAGTTTGGCTTTCCCGAACGCGGTGGAAACTGTACAGGTCTCTGTGGCGCGTGCGGTCGGCTAAGTGTTAAGGTCAGGATAGGGTGCGTAGACCAGCCAATGCTTATTTCGGCACGGGTGGCTACCTTAAGGTCAAGATAGGGTGCGTAGACCAGCCAATGCTTATTTCGACACGGGTGGCTACCTTAACACTTAGTCGACCGATCGGGTAGATCTACCATTTTGACATAACCTTAACATGTCTACCTTGACATAACCTTAAGATCAGGATAGGGTTTGGGGAAATTGGAGTTAAGCTATCTCGTAACTTTTTGCAAGAGAAGAGAAATAAAGATATACCTCGAGCGGTAAAGATATATCTTTGTAGGTTGTAGCAGCTACTGCCTCGAAATAGGAAATGGAAATAATTGAACTTGTAACCAAAAAAAACTTGTAAAAGCTAGTTTATTACGAGTTTTGGTTTTCTACAAATGTATCTAAGTGTTCGCGTACTCTATCGCGCTCTCAGCTTTTCGCAGTGAATCGGCGGGGGGCTTCTGATCTGATATCTACTACCTACTAGATTGTTTGCCCGAAGGAGAATTAAGAATCGATCTCGCTAGAGTTTCCACGTCGACGAATGACTCGAAACTAGCCCGCCTCTAGTCGCGTTTGGGCCCTTTATATACCCAGATTTTCTTTGGGAAATGGTAGTGGGGGTGTTCCTATGTGGTCCGATTCCAGAAACGTTCGTCGTCGTACCCCTTGCAGATACTTGACTCGCCATATACAAATGAACCCCCGGCTGGCTGGCGCCAGTTTAGCGTATGCCTTCAGGAAGGAGTATAAAAAATTCGTGTGAAAATTCTCCGTACGTTACAACGTTGTACTTAACCCGGGAAGCGCGTATTTGACCTTGACGGAGTTGATCGTCGCGCTGCAGTTCCGCGAACGGACATTAGACAAACCAAATTAGAAATATTTTCGACCGCCGGGTGGCACACGCATATGTTTCTGTGACCACGGGTAACGATAAAAATGTAGCGGAAGAGAGAAAGAAAGCTGAAAGAGAAGGATAACCTTGACATAACCTTGACAAAACCTTGATATACCCTTGACATGACCTTGACATAACCGTGACATAACCTTGACATGACCTTGACATGATCTTGACCTAACCTTGACATAACCTTGACAGGATAGCGACTAAACATAATTGTCACATTTCATTCCTCGCCGCAATGCTGTCATGTCGTCGAAACCGTTTCACAAACTGAGAGTTTCATGAAACTGATTCCTGTTTCATGAGCCCGTTCTCCTGAACTGCTTACTTGAATATTGGCATATTGAATATTGAATATTGACATAACCTTGACATGACCTTGACACGACCTTGACACGACCTTGGCATGACCTTGACATTTTTTTTCAGGAGGAGGGGAATGCCTTACGCACGCCGCCCTGAGATCTTAGTGGGTGGGAGTCTGGGACTCCCTGGTTGCGGGTGCAATACCAGGTTTACCCACTAAACCCCTCCTCAGGCATCCGCCTTTAAGCAGCACACCCACCGCGGTGTCCCCTTTCGGGATTCCTGCACGGTGGGTGGCTGAATCACGTGTCAAAACCGCTTAACTAGGGCCACGGTAAGCCTACACGTAAAAAGAAAACCCCTATCTTTGGGGTGCTGTCCTGCGACCTCCAGGGTTTCGAGCCCTGCGGCCGCCTCGTCGTCGGTCCTCCCTGTCTATGTTTTCTCTGCACTTGACCACGTCCGTAACGTATTCTGCTAAGAAGGCCCTCGTCCTCTCGTCCCTAAGAAGAGCCACAAAATTGTTCAGCCGCATGTCGACGCCCATTGCCCTTTCGGCGGCGCCCCTCTCGACAGCGAAGCGCG